GATTATTTGTGAAAGAAGAATGGTTCCCTGTCTGCATACTGGATGAAAGAAGAATGGTTCCCTGTCTTCCTACTGGATGAAAGAAGAATGGTTCCCTGTCTGCCTACTGGATGAAAGAAGAATGGTGTTCCCTGTCTGCTCTCTTGGTGAAACAAAAAAAGGTTCCTATACTGCCTACTGGGTGAAATAAGAAAGGTTCCTTGTCTGCCTCCTGGATGAAACAAGAGAGGTTCCTTGTCTGCCTACTGGATGAACCAAGAGAGATTCCCTGTCTGCCTACTGGATGAAAGAAGAATGGTGTTCCCTGTCTGCCTACTGGATGAAATAAGAAAGGTTCTTTGTCTGCCTACTGGATGAAACAAGAGAGGTTCCTTGTCTGCCTACTGAATGAAATAAGAAAGATTCCTTGTCTGCCTACTGGATGAAACAAGAAAAGTTCCTTGTCTGTCTACTGGATGGACTACATTATTAAGGTGAGCATCCTTCTAGGAATGATTCGAGAAGTAAACTGACAATTACACATGACATGTATTCGTGAGCGCATTGCATGGTGTTTCGCCTGTGACAAAATTAACTATGATCGATAGCTTAGTGCGTATTATGCCGAAATGTCTCAGTTAGAAGAGAAACACCCGGATGTTTATCATAATTTCAACGCAGGAATATTTTCAGTACAGATTAGATCTAACAACACCTTTGAAAGAATACCAGTCGATCAAACTACCGAAGAGACTGTCAACAAGGACACAAAGACATCAGGCGGAACATTTCGATTCAATCTCAATATAAGTGCAGTTACACGCTACTAACTAATAGTGGAATACAGGAGTGCTTATGTCCGAATGCTACGACATCTGCTACCCATGCAGATATCAGATTCCCAGCACGGATTGATAAAGATGAGAAGGCTGTCTCGGGAATAGTGGAAGTTATAGACGAACCAGCAAATTTATTCAATGAACCACAAGAACTTCTCAATATTTCTTCAGTTGCACAAGAAGACATTACCAGAGACCTAGCGATGGCCTGATTACACGGTGAATCAACCTACAAAATCTTCTGAGAGCAACGACTAGAAATTGATCTGCCCAGAATAAAATTTTATGATCGACTTCCCAAATTAAAGTTGAACACTTTTAGAGATTCTGACAACAGGTGCGAGTAAAATCTAGTTTAAGTTGTCTTGTTTGTGCCATCATAAACATGCTTCCAAATATATTAGAAATTATTTTCAAAATTACTTCCTTGTCTATGCGAGTTGTCTTTGAGCAGCCACTTGGCCCAGTGCCATGGTCGTTGGCTACTGCTGATGGCCTTCCAAAAAAAACCAGCAAAGCAACCCTTGCAAAGGAACAAAATAAAAGAACAAAATATTTGGAGACATCACTCGTTTGATTCTGTCAAAAGCTCTTTGTGAAGTATATAATTCTTCCCGTTTTTGACACGTACAAGACCTTATCAATAAAAGATGTTGAGAGAAAGATAAGAAAATCAACCACAAGCGTCATTCAGCTTAAGAACATTATGGCTAAACACACAGTAGTGGAGAAACTTCCTTTCTGGATCACGTAATAAGTCCAACTTTATTCAGTTTCTCGGCAGTAAATGGAAGAAGACAAAATACACCGAAAGACAAGATTCTGTATGTGACTTCTGATGAGAACGGTTCTACAAGAGGAGGCAGACACTCGACTGATCTTACATTCTGCACATGCTGGAAATAAATCAATCATACTATTTGTTGATGTATTTCTTTTAGCCCTAGCATTCAATGCTGGTACTGAAACTTCCATCCATCTCAATAATCCATTATGTAGACATACATAAAATTGCATCTGTTCTTGGTGATTCCATATGCAAAAGGTTGATGGGTATGCAGTGTATTCACTGGCTATGATAGTGTTAGCAGTTTTGCTGGACGAGGAAAGCTTACTGCATTGAAAATGCTGAAGAAATATGAAGAATTTCAAGGCATTTTTTCCGAGCTTGGAAAAGAATGGGAAGTTTCTACGTCACTAATGGATGGACTTGAAGCATTTACTTGCCAATTGTATGCTCCTAAGGCCACTTCGAAAAAAGTGAATGAACTCGGGTTTCATTTCTTCAGCATAAGCAAGAGTCATATTGAGTCACGCCAGCTTCCTCCGTGTGCAAGCATGTACTCAGAACCAATTATGAGACATCTATTTGGAGAAGAAGTCTTGAAACACTACCAAGCATACCTTCACCCAAAGGTCATGGATAGCCAATTATCAGGAATCTACCTGGAGAAGAAGTCTTGAATCACTACCAAGCATACCTTCACCGAAAGGTCATGGATAGCCACTTATGAAGTATCTACTTGGAGAAGAAGTCTTGAATCACTACCAAGCATCCCTTCACCGAAAGGTCATGGATGGAAGGTTGAAATACATGATGACAAAGAGGAGTTGGTTATTGACTGGCTAGATGGAGCTCTTGCACCCGCAACAGTACTTGAACTCTTAACATGTAACTGCTCAAGATCTTGCAAGAATCAAAAATGCACATGTATGAGCAATAACATGAAATTCCCAGATCTTTGCAGACTGAAGAATTGTGATAACCAGCCTGAAGAAGATGGTGAAGACGATTAACAAAAACCGATGGATGAGGCAAGCGACATTGAAGAACTCGAATTTTGATATATTTGACATGATTGATGAAGCTAAATATAAAATTTTTCTTTGTAATTGACATTCAATTCATCTTTAAAATGTTTTCAAATAAAAACCAAATATTCGTGTTTGTTTTGAAAGTTTTATCGTGTCAATCCATATACTATTAGATATTTTCTTTCGTGGTTTATCCTGAATTATATATTGATTAAATTGGTATTCTGAGACGTTAACAGGGATAGTGACAGTAAAAACATGTGATATATTACACATATTAGTACGAACTTTAAACTGACTCTATGTCTATGTATTGTAATTAATAATCTTGAGTAAAAAATAAAATATAATATAACGCTTCAATTATCATCATTTATTAATTTAAAAAATAATGAAAATTCAGTCAATACTCGCTCCAAAAATGCATTATTTTCCACCTCAATGATCATGATTTACAAAGTCGTTTGGCCGTTAACTTAGCGCTTTCAATTTGAACAAGTCGCATTGCGTCACGATGCTACTTTTAAACAAAACTGTTCTAATGATCATAAAAGCCTTCTTTCATATCAATTCACTGAATTGCATCTACTTTGCGTGTTATTCAACATAGTTTTGCCACGTTATAAGAGGTTGTGAGAATTGTACACAAATGTTTTCTTGCTAAAATTTACTTCAACTTTTAAACATACCACCTCCTGTTTAAATGAGAGGAAGTTGCTGATTTGAAACTGTTACCAGGAGAAAATGCATTCCATACATACATACAGGCCTTTGAAATGATGCCATTAAACCTTTTTCGTACCGACTAACCCTATGCCTATAACGAAGTTATAATACTGACCCTATGCCTATAACTAAGTTATGATACTGACCCTATGCCTTTAACGAAATTATGATACTGACCCTATGCCTATAACGAAGTTATGATACTGACCCTATGCCTATAACTAAGTTATGATACTGACCCTATGCTTATAACAAAGTTATGATACTGACCCTATGCCTATAACTAAGTTATGATACTGACCCTATGCCTATAACAAAGTTATGATACTGACCCTATGCCTATAACTAAGTTATGATACTGACCCTATGCCTATAACAAAGTTATGATACTGAACGCAATGTAATTTTATAAGATATTTCTACTAAATTTTGAATCAGTTTAATTGAAGTTTACCTGTGATCGATTTCCACCGTTGTTTTTGGAGAGTCAACACATTTATCTGTAGGAAACTGAGTTAATATTAGTAGGAAGGTTAAAAGAAGCGAAGCGTTTGGTTTTTGGGGGAACAATATATCTGTTACCCGCGCATTGTTTTCAGCTCTAAACATACCTCTCAAAGCAGTGTTAAAGTGGAACATGAAGTAAATAAATATGATATCAAAACTTAATTATGTTCAAAATGTCTTAAAAAACGAAATCGTGTGAAACATGGTGTAAAAGAAAAAACAAATAAAACATTGGTTTGTTCGTTCCTTAAAAATTAACGAATTAAACGGAAGCCATCTGAGATAAATAAATATCAATACAAATAGAACATTCTAGAACGCTTCCGATTTGCGAAACTAATTGTCGGATTCTTTACAAAGTGAAGCATTCTTTGACTAATTCTGTGCTTCAATACACAAACTGAACATATATAGCAAAACAACATATAATAAAATGTAATCCCGTCGTAACTGCATTCAAACTCCTATCATTCTAACTACAAGAGAAGAATAGTAAAACTTTTATCATCTAAAAGCTAGATCATTCTACCCTACGCATGGGTAGGCTGCACATGCTGAGAACCAGGGGGTGGTCTATAGGTGGGAGGGACGGTAACACTGGCATGCTGCACTATGTAATCTTCGAAACTTTGAGCCTTCCTTAAAGGCCTGGAAGAGGACCTCTTCGAAATGACATTTTGTGACTGCGGTGGTGGCCATGCGATGTCCTTGTTTCGACGGCCCAGTAAAGGGGATCCTCCAGCAAACGGAGGGGTGCGACAAGGAGGTGTAGAGGGTTGAGGGTGCCATGCATTAGTGACAGTGCCTGCACGAGGTGGAGTAGTCGGTGTAGTACGATCTCCAAACTCATCGTCTGATTCACCATGTTTCGGGGGTGGCCAGAGGAGCTTCTTTCCATGGCTACCTACAACATTATAGAAGTCTTTACTTTCTGAGTAATTGTTACACTAAAAGTACTTTATATTTACAAAATAATTTTAAATCTATTTTGTATTAGACTAAAAAATTAAATGCTTGGAAAAATCATTAGTAGTAAGCCTCAACATTACTGAAAAATATGTTATATTGTTTGAATAAAAGCAGCACGACTCTAGTAGCTCATCGTGATCTATTTATGAACTACATTGTACTCACTCTCTTGTGTCCAGCAAAGATAAACATGAACTACATTGTACTCACTCTCGTGTGTCCAACAAAGACAAACATGAACTACATTGTACTCACTCTCTTGTGTCCAACAAAGACAAACATGAACTTCACTGTACTCACTCTCTTGTGTTCAACAAAGACAAACATGAATTACACTGTACTCACTCTCTTGTGTCCAACAAAGACAAACGTGAACTACACTGTACTCACTCTCTTGTGTCCAACAAAGACAAACATGAACTACATTGTACTCACTTTGTGTGTCCAACAAAGACAAACATGAACTACACTGTACTCACTCTCTTGTGTTCAGCAGAAAGAAACATAAACTACACTCTCACTCTCTTGTGTCCAATAAAGACAAACATGAACTACTATGTACTCACACTCTTCTGTTCAACAAAGAAAAACATGAGCTACAATTTACATACTCTCTTTGGCTCAACCAAGAGAAGCTCAAACATAAAGTACAGTTTACTTACTCTTTTTAATTCAAGCCAGCAGAAACATGAACTACTATGTACTTACTTTCTTGAGTCCAGCCAGGAGAAAATCCTGTTCTTGGATGCTCTCGAGCCTTGGGATTCTGCAACAGAAAAATAAAAATGTTGAAGTACACAATACAGTAAGAACAAAATCAACTAAAGATGTAAACAACAATCCACTCTTTCATAAGATACATTTTATAACTAGCTTAGACTTAATAAACCCATTAAATGAGAAAGAATCAGACTAAATAAGCCTTTTAAGTATGGCAGATTCATTATCTAACATACTAAGTAAGACAAAGAACAAGTCCGATAAGTGTAGATCGAAATCTTCTTGTGGTGTGCACCACCCTGCATCACATTGTTTATAACGTGAAGATACACTATCACAAGACATACATATTTTACATACACAAAATACTCACCTTGGGTGGCCAAATTCCTTCTGAAGTCCGAAGTTTACGAGACAAAGAAGGGGAGGCGGTTGGGCTGGGGGACATCCTGGTCATAGGTGATTGGCTAGCTGGACGGTTCTGTTGTGGCCAGTAAGGTTGACTACGTGAGGCCACTGAGCTTGGAGCAAACGATGACGTTTGTTGAGACAACCCTTGATAATTTCGTTGAACAGGTTCAGTTGTAGGGGATGAAGGGGCATTATGAGAAATGCCCTTCGCTTGGGTGGAGATCCCAGATGTTTGTGGGAACCTGGGTTGATCAAATACGAGGGTTGACTGAACAGAACCAACCGTAGCTTGGGGTGAGGGGGGCTGCTCCTGGTAAAAGGGTGGTTCAGCACGTCGTACTGTGGGAGGAGTATTAGGTTGTCGAGCTGTTAGTTGGACACTTGAGGTAGTTGTGTGTTGATATGGTAACTGAACGGTTGCTGGTTGGTGTTGTGGATACGATGCTTGAAAAGCGCGGGGAGGAGCCGGAGGAGCAGCTTTCTGTTGGTATGACGGATGATTTCGAACAGGGGGAGTAGCTCGTTGTAGATAAGAATCTGTTACTTGTTTTTCCTGAGGAACAGCTTCTCTGTAAGGCCACTCAGTTTGATAATATTGCTGTTTTGACTGGTACATGGTTGTCTTGCTCTCTTCCTGGTCCCAGCCAAAATGAGAAATCCTCTCAGATCTCTGGTGAAAAGGTGAAGTCGTGTATGCCCCTGGGGGTGATTTTAAAATTTCACTACGAACTGAAGGTTTAGGCTTAGGGGGAGGAGGTGGTGGCTGTTTCCTGTAGAAAAAATACAGCTTTAGGATATTTTTCGTGTTTATAGAATAATTGAAACAATTTTAATTTCTAGAGCTCAATTAACAAAATATTTTTTCGCAGTAATTAAAATTCTTAGTTTAGAGAAACGAACCAAAATATTTAAAATTAAGAAGTAGAAAGAGAATTTAATGTCATTGTATTTTGAAGGGAAAATATTAATTAATAAACGAAAACAATATTGAACTCTTCAACACGACAGAATATTTCCCACAACAAGTTCTATCTAACCCACAGTCTTTAATAAGAACAGTAAGTCAGAACAATGTTCAAACAAGTTGTGTTTTAACCAGACTCATCTGTTGAACAGCAATATTTCAACATGACAGAACTATGCCAACAACAAGCTATGCATCAACCACAGTCTCTAATAAATTACTATAGTTCAGTAAATAATGACAATGTCCAAACAAGTTGTGTTTCAACCAGACTCATCTGTTGAACAACAATATTTAGGCTCGACAGAACAATACAACTAGCTAAGTTTGAACTACAGTCTTTGATAAACAACAATATTTAGGCACCACAGAACAACATCCACAACTAGCTAAGTTTGAACCACAGTATTTGTTAAACAACAATATTTAGGCACCACAGAACAAGGTCCACAATTAGCTATGTTTAAACCACATTCGTTGTTAAACAACAATATTTAGGAACCACAGAACAAGGTCCACAATTAGCTATGTTTGAACCACATTCTTTGTTAAACAACAATATTTGGGCACCACAGAACAACATCCACAACTAGCTATGTTTGAACCACAGTCTTTGTTAAACAACAATATTTAGGCACCACAGAACAAGGTTCACAATTAGCTATGTTTGAACCACATTCTTTGATAAACAACAATATTTAGGCACCACAGAACAAGGTCCACAATTAGCTATGTTTGAACCACAGTCTTTGTTAAACAACAATATTTAGGCACCACAGAACAACATCCACAACTAGCTATGTTTGAACCACAGTCTTTGTTAAACAACAATAGTTAGGCACCACAGAACAACATCCACAACTAGCTATGTTTGAACCACAGTCTTTGTTAAACAACAATATTTAGGCACCACAGAACAAGGTCCACAATTAGCTATGTTTGAACCACAGTCTTTGTTAAACAACAATATTTAGACACCACAGAACAAGGTCCACAATTAGCTATGTTTGAACCACAGTCTTTGTTAAACAACAATATTTAGGCACCACAGAACAAGGTCCACAACTAGCTAACTTTGAACCACAGTCTTTGTTAAACAACAATATTTAGGCACCACAGAACAAGGTCCACAATTAGCTATGTTTGAACCACATTTTTTGTTAAACAACAATATTTAGACACCACAGAACAAGGTCCACAATTAACTATGTTTGAACCACAGTCTTTGTTAAACAACAATATTTAGGCACCACAGAACAAGGTCCACAATTGGCTATGTTTGAACCACAGTCTTTGTTAAACAACAATATTTAGGCACCACAGAACAAGGTCCACAACTAGCTAACTTTGAACCACAGTCTTTGTTTACAGCGTGATAGATTAACTTGTTTTATCAGGATAATTCAAGGCCCTGAATAAGATCTATCTATTTGGCTAATGTTATTACCGAAGTGCTTTACTTACATGGATGTTGGAGGAGTGATAGGACGTTCCATGTGTCGTCTTCCTGAAATAAATAGAAAGTAAACTGATACATCATCTCAAAATATTTACTCAAGTTTATCTCTCGCCATTAGCCTATACTTATTAATTCCGTGTAAGATATGATAGTATTTGCTAGGTTTGACAGGTTGTCTTCTTGTGTGAATGTTTCTAGACCAGATACGCGTCAGTGTCAAGAAACTGCAGGTTTCTGTTCATACTGACCATCAATTTCCTAGAGGTATTTTCAACTGTGGTTTTCCTAGCTTCCTGTAATGTGAGTTTCTGTTTTTGAGTTTCTAGGTCTGGCTAACTTGTATTTCTTGTATTCATTTTATAGGTCTGGTTACGTATAGAAAGTTATCATTAAGTGTACTAAATGTTATACAATCTTTTGTCAAATTAAAGAAAACAACATTCGTGGGCGAATGCAACATGTCTCCTAACATGGCCAATTTTGACACCAGAAAAATTGTGAAAACCACAGAAATATTGAAAACTGTCTACATCACTGGGTGGAACCTGCAAGAAAGTATATTTGTACCAAATCCCTTGTAAGTATCACTGTTTGTGACGTGTAAAAAATATATTTTAATAAACCCCACGTAAATTGACCAAAACTGTAACATTATGTTTTGTGACATTTTGACCTCCGTAAAATGACAAAGTGTACAGCTAATATACATGCTAACCTTTACCATTCTACCGTACATGTAGTGAATATAAAGATGTGTACAGTTATTAAACATGCTAACCTTTACCATTCTACCGTACATATAGTCAATATAAAGATGTGTACAGATATTAAACATGCTAACCTCATGTTTAATATCTGTACACATCTTTATATTTACTATATGTACGGTAGAATGGTAAAGGTTAGCATGTTTAATAACTGTACACATCTTTATATTGACTATATGTACGGTAGAATGGTAAAGGTTAGCATGTTTAATATCTGTACACATCTTTATATTGACTATATGTACGGCAGAATGGTAAAGGTTAGCATGTTTAATAACTGTACACATCTTTATATTTACTACATGTACGGTAGAATGGTAAAAGTTGACATGTTTAATATCTGTACACATCTTTATATTGACTATATGTACGGTAGAATGGTAAAGGTTAGCATGTTTAATATCTGTACACATCTTTATATTTACTACATGTACGGTAGAATGGTAAAGGTTAGCATGTATATTAGCTGTACACATCTTTATATTCACTATATATACGGTAGAATGGTAACTAACCTTTACCATTCTACCGTACATATAGTGAATATAAAGATGTGTTCAGTTATTAAATATGTCAACTTTTACCATTCTACCGTACATGTAGTAAATATAAAGATGTGTTCAGTTATTAAACATGCTTACCTTTACCATTCTACCGTACATATAGTAAATATAAAGATGTGTTCAGTTATTAAACATGCTTACCTTTACCATTCTACCGTACATATAGTAAATATAAAGATGTGTTCAGTTATTAAACATGCTTACCTTTACCATTCTACCGTACATGTAGTAAATATAAAGATGTGTACAGATATTAAACATGCTAACCTTTACCATTCTACTGTACATATAGTAAATATAAAGATGTGTTCAGTTATTAAACATGCTAACCTTTACCATTCTACCGTACATGTAGTAAATATAAAGATGTGTTCAGTTATTAAACATGTCAACTTTTACCATTCTACCGTACATGTAGTAAACATAAAGATGTGTTCAGTTATTAAACATGCTAACCTTTACCATTCTACCGTACATGTAGTAAATATAAAGATGTGTTCAGTTATTAAATATGCTAGCCTTTACCATTCTACCGTACATGTAGTAAATATAAAGATGTGTTCAGTTATTAAACATGCTAGCCTTTACCATTCTACCGTACATGTAGTAAACATAAAGATGTGTTCAGTTATTAAACATGCTTACCTTTACCATTCTACCGTACATATAGTAAATATAAAGATGTGTTCAGTTATTAAACATGCTAGCCTTTACCATTTTACCGTACATGTAGTAAACATAAAGATGTGTTCAGTTATTAAACATGCTAACCTTTACCATTCTACCGTACATATAGTAAACATAAAGATGTGTACAGTTATTAAACATGCTAACCTTTCGCTTCCTCTTCATGCAGTGCCCGTAGGACAGCGGACCTCTGAATGACAGGGGATGACACTGGACTTCTTGGTTTGTACTCCGGCCTGTTATGGAGAAACATTATCGGTTTCACTACATTATAAAACTACATACAGTTCCAAACTTCAAGAAATATAGATAATATTCTGGTTACTTTGTTATACTCTCGTATGTTTGTCACACCAGACTGAATATTTTCTTAAATATTTCCAATTCCACTGTCGACTATTAAGCTACTTAAACAAAAACTGACACTGCTTTTCTAAAATGTGTAGTGATGAATTGCAAGTCAATACCTCAATTCTAAAAAAGTAGCTAGCACTGCCACCTTTCATTTGAGTTTTTATTTTTCTCTATAAGCCCTCAACTTTAAAAGAAGTAGCCAGCACTGCCTCCTGTCGTTTGAGTTTTTAGTTATCTCTAAAAGTCCTTCACTTTAAAAAGAAGTAGCCAGCACTGCCACCTGTCGCTTGAGTTTTTAGTTATCTCTAAAAGTCCTTCACTTTTAAAGAAGTAGCCAGCACTGCCACCTGTCGCTTGAGTTTTTAGTTATCTCTGAACGCCCTTCACTTTAAAAGAAGTAGCCAGCACTGACAACTGTCGTTTGATTTTTTATTTTTCTCTATAAGCCCACAATTTTAAACTAAGTAGCCAGCACTGCCACCTGTCGCTTGAGTTTTTAATTATCTCTATAAGCTCTCAAGGTTAAAAGAAGTAGCCAGCACTGCCACCTGTCGCTTGTGTTTTTATTTATCTTTATAAGCCCTCAAGATTAAAAGAAATAAGCAGCACTGCCACCTGATGTTTCACTTTTTAGTTATCTGTATAAGTTACGTTTGATAGCTGAATAATTTGGTTTACTTCTGCTAAATTCATAACTTTTAACAAGTTGTATTCTGCAAATGACATTATTTCTATGATGGTAAGAAGGAAATAAAACAGAAAATAAACCTATATTCTTCAGTATTTACCAACTTGTTATAAACGCGATTATCTTAAAACAGGTGGACTTATCTTCTTCAGTATTTATCAACTTGTTATAAACGCCATTATTTTAGACAGGTGGACCTATCTTCTTCAGTATTTACCAATTTGTTATAAACGCCATTATCTTAAACAGGTGGACTTATCTTCTTCAGTATTTATCAACTTCTTATAAATGGGATTATTTTTGACAGCTGGACTTATCTTCTTCAGTATTTATCAACTTGTTATAAACGCGATTATTTTAGACAGGTGGACTTATCTTCTTGAAGACGATAAGTCCACCTGTCTAAAATAATCGCGTTTATAACAAGTTGATAAATACTGGATAAGTCCACCTGTCTGAGATAATCGCGTTTATAACAAGTTGGTAAATACTCAATCAACAATGAGTTTACACTTCCTAAAAAAATTCATGTTCTTACAATGATGTTTAGAACAAGCCGATAAACTTAGAAGAAGATAAGTCAACCTGTCTAAAATAATCGCATTTATAACAAGTTGATAAATACTGAAGACGGAACACGTTACTATGCTTTTTAATATTTTATTTTCATAGGGAGAGCCACGTACAGTGAAAGCGGTGGTGCATGCGCAGTATAACTCTCCAATGGACTTGTATTCTACAGAAAACGTGGCTGATACTCTGGCACGACATGCTGAAGTGATAACGGACGGACATTCAGAGTAAAACAATTATAGTATATGTTATTAAGTATTAACGTTGTCTCAAAACACGTTACACTAACAAATAACAATTCACCCATAATTTAGTTCGTTAATCACTGTGAAGTTAAGCCTAATAATTCTTAAGTTAATTAATAACTTCTTAAATTGTTCTTGTTCTAGAGCAAAATTACACAATGTTCATCACGGGAATCGAACCCCGAATTTTATCATAATGAGCCCGTAAACTTACCGCTGACACACCAGGAGAAAACTATTAAGCAGACATTGTTATGACTTTCTGGTCTTTAATCATCATTAAATAATATATCAGTCACCTATTCACACTTCTAGGGTGAACTGTAAAAAACTGTAATAAGTTAGCATCGAGAGAGAAATATGCGGAGGTAATCAACAATCACCGTCTCTCCTATGTTCATATCAGGAAAACACAAAGATAAATTCCATAATACCATACAGAGGTAACAATCAATGTTTTTTTTTTCTCTCCTATGTTCAGATCAGAAAAAAGATCAAAGATAAATTTAACATTTTCTTATTCTAAATGGCCAATTACAATGATAACATTGTAAAGAAATTTCTACCTCTACAAGATACGAACCAAGATTAATATTGAAAGTGTTTATCTCCATAATTATGAGTATGTAGAGAGCGGACATGAAGGATTAAATCAATGAATTAATCAAACAAATACAGATTACATGGTTTTACACTTCATGATAAACCACAACTTGTATAACTGTAGACTTCATATTAAAACCATAACAACTTGTATAACTGTAGACTTTATGATAAACCACAACAACTTGTATAATTGTAGACTTTATGATAAAACCACAACAACTTATGTAACTGTAGACTTCATGTTAAACCAACCACAAGAACTTGTGTATCTGTAGACTATAAGATAATAAAACCACAACAACTTGTGTAGCTGTTAACTTCATGATTGAACCACAGTAACTTGTGTAACTGTAGATAAAACATGACGCATTCAATACATTATCATCTTAAAATAGAAACATCTTCTACTGTACTTTATATCATAAGTTAATAAAGAAAGAAAATGAAAAGCTATAGTTCTTCAATAAAGGGTTGACACAAAATATATGTCGTTAAAAAACGTTTACCACAAAAATAAAGTTCGTCAACAAAGGGTTGACACAAAATATATGTCGTTAAAAAACGCTTATCACAAAAATAAAGTTCGTCAATAAAGGGTTGACACAAAATATATGTCGTTAAAAAACGTTTATCACAAAAATAAAGTTCGTCAACAAAGGTTGTTACAAAATATATGACGTTAAAAAACGCTTATCACAAAAATAAAGTTCGTCAACAAAGGGTTGTTACAAAATATATGTCGTTAAAAAACGTTTATCACAAAAATAAAGTTCGTCAACAAAGGGTTGTTACAAAAATATATTTTGTACTTACTTGTTTTGGCTCTTTCAAGAGATCTTCTCTAAAAAACAGAAATAAAACATTAAAGTGATTGACGTTTGTTAACACAGTTTCGGAACATACAGATGTAAACTGGTTCATAGAAAAACATACTACTTCATATGACGTAAAATAACCTTCTAGTTTTTTACACGATTAATTGTTCTGGATAAGACTAGAATTTCCTGATAATATTATGTGACAGAGTTGTGATCTGAGTGAGGGTTAACATAAATTAATTATCTTCTAGTTTGTTTGTGTTTTTTTTACATGCTTCGTTGTCTTAGATAATAATAATACAAGATTTCCTAATAATATTATAAATTTATATGGACAGATCTGGGGTTCTTTAGGTTAATATAATCTTTAATTTATTTATTTTGCTAATTAAAATAAAGTTTGTATTTTAGAATTTAGCGGTTAAAAAAAAACCCACTCGTATAAGCTATTATTTTGTTTGTCATTTCTTAATAGAATACTGAAACCAAAACCTAACGAACCATTCCTCACACCTGACTAAAGGATATTTAGAATGTTTGTCTTCATTAACAAAAGATGAAACGACGAAGACTGTTTTTTGCTTGTTTTGTATTTTTCCTTACAAAGTTTTTAGTCGATTGGATACTTGTTGTTAGCATATGATGAGATTGTCGTTTTATTCCTTACATGGTTTCTCTAAGATTCATCAAAATAAAATATACAAACTAAATACTGCTAATGTTTACCTTATTATAAACATTTCCAAACGGTTTCCGCAAAGCCGAATAATCTCTTGTACTTCGTCATGACTCATTTCCTGCACATTCTCGCGTCCCACCTGTATCACTTCATCTCCTTCGTGCAGTCCCGCATGCTCAGCGATACTGTCTGGAGCCACCTGGTGAACAAAAATATGGCCGCAAATTGAGAGCAAAAACAAACAAAATTCTGTAAAATTATAGGTTAACCCTACAATAAAACATTTTCGGAGTTATTTTCATCACGAAATTATCGGGTTTTTTATTTCAACACATTTAACTACTGCAATGGTTTTCAATATGATGACTTTTGCTTTTATTAAAATTATTATAGTAACGTAGAAACTTCAAATAATCGTCAACCAAAATCACTTATACTAATATCACTTAGCAACGATGCTTGATCAATATCAGTTAATACATGACTTTGATGCACGTAACAACTCAACATTTATATCACTTAAGACAGGACATTGGTGCATATAACAACAGAACATTTATATCAGTTAATACATGACTTTGGTGCATGTAACAACTCAACATTTATATCAGTTAAGACAGGACATTGGTGCATATAACAACAGAACATTTATATCAGTTAATACATGACTTTGGTGCATGTAACAACTGAACATCAATATCAGTTAAGACAGGACATTGGTGCATGTAACAACTGAACATTAATATCAATTAATATAAGTGCATGTAACAACTGACCATTAATATCAATTAATATAAGTGCATGTAACAACAGAACATTAATATCAATTAATACGAAAGTCCTCAACTAATCAGAATTAATGTTCAGTTGTTACATGCACCAAAGTTCTGTATTAATTAATATTAATGTTCTGTTGTTACATGCACTTATAGATGTAACAGCCGAACGTTAATTTCAATAAGAGTAGGATGTACACAATATATCATATGTAATCTCTATGGACCTGTATAGACGTTACATAGTACATCAGGTGTAATCACTATGGACCTGTACAGACGTTACATAGTACATCAGGTGTAATC